AGGCGGGGGTCTTTGTTTTTTTTTTTTTTTTTTTTTTTTTTTTGGGATACTCTCTGTGACTTCTGCTCTCACACTTTTGGCAGCTCCAGATTTCCTTTTCTTCCTCTGCAGGCGCTTATTGTTATGCTATAGTGGTACGGTGCTACAAAGCAGAAGCGAAGCATAATGGTGTCACATGATGTGTTTTTCACCACAAAAGGGAGGTCAAAGTGGAGAGGTGAAAAAAAAGTGTTTTAAAGGAGAGATATTCAATTGCAATGCCGAAGAGAGGAGAAGAGTGGTTTGTGCTAAATCGGCATGTGACTGCTTCCACCGTCTCCTCGGCTTTGCGTCAACAACAACAAACAAACAAACAACGCGTTACCTACCCAGAGTTTCCCCTCATAGTAGAAGGCGTCCAGCAGCTTGACAATGTGATGGTGGTCGCAGGAGGCCAGGATGTCAATTTCGACCATGTAGTCCTCCAGTTCGTCCTCCGTCTTTGTGTCGATGACTTTGGCGGCGGCGAGGGTCCCGTTCTGCTTGTTCTGAGCCTGAGGGCAACGATGCGGCTTTGTTAGGGGTTTGACACGAAAAGTCCCACAAAAACGACACCCGTGCAGTTATTTCTAGCTCGGCTACGCGGTGGTTATCGTGGCGAGACATCCTCAACAAAGAAGCCACATGAAAATAGTGCAATGGATTGCATTAGTGTTTGAGCGAGGCTGCAAGCAATCTCCCTCTCAGATGACATCTCCATCAGGAGACGTCATAAAGACTTCTTAATTACACGGGATGGATTTATACTGCAAGCCCAAGTGCCCAATTACGATTTAATGCCTATATCTGATCTGGGCCATTTCCAAGCACGTTTCGAGAGACACATATTCGATATGGATGTGTTTACGCTGATGAAATGTCCAATACGTAAATGAAATGATACAAAATGTTACACAGCACTGAGTTAGCTTGGGCTGACTCTTCCACCCCATTGATTCAAATGAGGGTAACCTCCATTTTTGATCCACATTTATTGTGTTTCTTGAACAATGGACATGCCTCTCACGTAGCAAGCATATCGTGCTGTCACCCGAACAGCATAAAGTGCTATAAAGTCTTTTTTTTTTTAAACTTGTTTTCTGAAACCAAGAAAATAAAAAACATGGCACATTCAAGAAACAAGATCTGCATGACTGACAGTAATTTGACAGTCTGTGTGTTTGCTGTAGTTTAGATTCAAATGATGTCAATCTCGTATTTATCTATCCGAATCCGATTTTCATCTACATCTGGAAGAAGCCTGATTCTGATCAGCGTCTAAAGTTATCCCGTTCCACAAGTTTGGATCTCTTTATGCTGCTTTGACCCCTGAACCGAATTGTGCCGCTCGAGTGCAAAAAAAAATCTGAATTGCGACACTTGAGCCACGCAGTGTGAATCTAGCCATGGGTGTGGCAATTGCTGCTGCAGAAATGACCCGCAGAGTCAACGCGTCAAAACTGTTGTCAGCAAAGCTTATCATCTGACCTACTCTCAACGAACTTGGCTCACTTCCTCACGCTGCTTTTTCCTACCATCGTCCTGTCCCCCACCCCCACATCACTTTAGACAGGCGTGACATTTGGGATTTGGGCTGGGATTTTTGTACACGTCTAGGGAAAAAGTCCAAATCAATTGCAACTCATTGAGTACAAAAACAGTAGCAGGGGAGTTGTTTTAAGGCTGGCTTAAAGTCCTGATGCACTCAGACCCAACATTGGAGAGTAAAAGGAAAAAACGAGGAGGGAGGGAGTGTTCGGATTGGAACAACTGATCCAATGTTTACGGAGTGCCAACCTGACACACGCCCCGTCCCTTTCCGTCAGCACGGCCTGACGTCAGTGTCAATTTTTGTCTCTCGTGTTTCATGCAAAGTGAATCGCACCAATGTGAATGACATGCGCTGTCCGTGACGTGTGCTGCATGTCCAATTCAAAGCCCTTCACGCGTGATGCACGAGAGTTGAGGTCTTTGGGAAAACTTTGGCATTCGGTTCGGGGTTTATTAGATTCTTTGTTAATGAAGTTGCCAATATGAAAGAAGAACATCAACAATTCATTACAAAGCGGTAAACAATGAAAATGCCGGTTGGCTAACGCGGAAAATAAGTTACTGAGATATTATGGATTGAAAGTTTGTCAGTGTATCATTTAGTATTGCATTCTAATATTGCCATTATTGTGCTATTCCTATCCCGACAATACGTGAAGTATTGTCGGGATAGGAATAGACATTAATATTTGGTCCAGAGTGTCTCCAGGTACAAATAGATCAACTTCAGTTTGGATAGAGCCCTGTGACAGACTCCTGGCTTTCATCGCAGCAATTTACTCAGCTAATAAGGAACTGCAAACTGGCAAATGGACATCCATGGACAATTAGCTGTATTATTTAATCACGAGAGTTGCAGGAAGGAACTCCTGCGTTGACGCCGAAATGGCCGCAAGGGAGAAAGCCCTCGACATCAGACTACAATAACGCAATAAATAATACGAGACGAATGATAAGTTGCCTTTATGCTTCAGTGGTTAATTCGCTAACTTCCATGCAGGGAATGCGGCTTCAGTGTACGGCTGAAACTATTAATTGGAATAACTCGTTTCATTCGATTACACGAAAAAGTTAAAATCACAGCAATAACACATTTCTTTTTTTCCCAAAAGAAAGGATTATACACTGTTGCATGTTCACAGGATTTTACGGTAGCTTATGTAACACAACAGCACACTCACTAGTGCACTTCAATCACTTTATTGAACAAACTGGAATAATAATAACAATCATAAAAATAACATACATGACCACAACTGATGGCCAGGGACTTGCCCGACACACTAACCCGATTCGACAAGTCACTATCCATTCTCATTTGCTGACTCCCACGTCACTCACCAGGCCCCCACCTTTTAAAGCCACACGCATTCAAAGTCACAAATATTACAGTGTGCAACTTGAGCAGTGACCCCAAGCGAAAAATAATTGCACTTCACATTTTGTTGCTTAGTAATAAGTTAGTATCACTCACTGAATCTATAATAACAATCATTTGAACAATCAGTTTGAAAATATTTGATCACGACAGCCCCATTGTGAAACACTGAACATGAGTGTGAGTGACTTTGTGTTTATGTGCTTTGCAACACACTGGCGTGGTGGGTCACCAACCCCGGTCCTCAAGGGCCCCTATTCTTGCATATTTTGTATGTTCCCTCCTCCAACACATCTGCTTCAAATGATTAGCTCATCAGCAAGCTCTGCACAAGCCTCATAATAATCGTGATCTTTTGAATCGGGTGTGTTGGAAGAGGGAAACAAAGGATGGAGGATAGGGGCCCTCCAGGACCAGAGTTGGTGACCCCTGGTCTAAATGAAGCTCCCGAGTCACTTCTAGATCGTTTCCTTGGCACAAAAATGCCACCAAATGCTTGTTTTCCACTGAATATTTACCTGTACTCAAGGAATAATTTGGAGGACTACGTTTTAATGTTGTTACTCGAGTCTTACAATTCTTAAGTCATGTTACTCTTACTCGAGTACAATTTTTTTGACTACTCGGCTAGGACGTCGTCATGGCTGCTGTCATTTTCACGTGTTCTCACTTGACAAGGGTGCGACAGAACAGAACCACAATGGAGTCGCCATGGAGGACGGTTACCTAATAACGTGTCGCAAAGGTGTACGAACAAAATTACCTTGTAGACTTTTCCGAAGGCTCCATCGCCGAGTTCCCCGATTATGTCCCAAATCTCCTCGGGGTTGACGTCTCGGTGGACGTGCTCGTACTGCTTCTTCTTCCTGTCGGGCCCTAGCTTGAAGATCTTTCGAAAATTGAAAAAGGACATTTTTCTGGGTAGGAGGAGAGCGGGTGTTACTACGGTGTTATTGATGCCGCGGTGAAGCTACAAAGCGGGCGAATGTCATTTAAACTGCGGCGGCGCTGTCAAATCCAACTTCCATTCCCGGGCATCTTGGGTCGTCTCGGTCATGGGGAGAGGGAGAAGCCCGAGGCGAGGGAAGCGGAGGTGGCGGAGGTGGAGGAGTTGACCGATGCGCGAAGGTTCTCCTGCGCTTTGGTGCTGTTTGTCTGAAACGGCTTGAAGGAGAGCAGCACGCCGGTGACGAGCATAGTCATGAAAGTGTCGACGCGCCTTCATTGAACGTCACCGCGGAAATGGCACACCAAGGCACGGCCCCGCGCCTTCCTCTCTTTTTCTTCCTCTTCTTCTTCTTCTTCTCCTTCTTCTTCAGCTAGCTGACCGCACACTCAACTTGGAGAGCTAGCGTCAAGTCAGTTTACGTTGGAATTTGCATTTCCGTCTCGCGCATTCACAATAAAGGTACAACTGTTGCATTCGGACGTTTTGTCCTTGTTGTTGAATGTTGCTGAATAGGCGGATGTGTTTCCTGCGTAACCCACTCATCTCCAACACGCTTTTGACCAAGAGGAATAAAGTTAATGATCATTACATGTATTAATTTTTTAGCAATGGTCAGAGCCGATGGAAGCTATAATGTAACGAAAGCGACGTGGTAGTGTCTTAAAGCTTTTTAACTGACCTTGTCAATTGCAGTAGGACCTGGCAAATGCGCTCACATCAAACAGAACCTTTAAAAAAAACAAACAAAAAACCCCAATGTTCTCTCATAATGTTTCATAAGAAGGGAGAATACAGAAAGAGGGATACTGTATTCCACCATTCCTCTCAAAATCATCCAGCGAACTGGCCTGTCTTCTCTTTTTAGCTCACTGTACGCGTATTTGCTTATGGGAAAATGTTTTTTAAAAAATGTCAATGTGAAGCAGTTCATTGTCAATAGTTTGCTGGAGTTGCTTCCAAAAATACATATATCCATGTGTACTGTACATATTTTTCCACCCCACTAAAATGTGCTTTATTGTGTTCTGGCTCCCCCATGCGACAAACCATCGAACTCCCCACCATTTCGTAGCACGTGCTGTGAGTTTGATTTCTATTTATCTTTGAAAACTACTTCCACGTAGTTTTTGTCCCTCTATAAAGTCATTACACCGAGTGAGTTTCGTGTATCTTTTGATCTAGATTCAGCATTCATTGTTCTCGGGCCAGCTGAAGCAAATTGTCGGCGCATGGGACCGCCCTGCGCACTCACCCTTCCTTCTCGACTCCTTTTTTTTTTCCCTCGGTGGTCCATCCCCCTCCTTTCGGGGGAGGAGGGCTGTTGATGAAACGCCACTTTTATTGCGCTGTCATGTATCAGAAGCCGCCAGAAGCGACCGAGAAGCACCCTCTTCTCATGGTTGCACGGACTTTTCCCCTCTACTTAACTTATAAAAGACAACAGTTGACGGTCGTTGTTAAAACTTCTTCGGGCTTTCATGGGCAGACGTTGCGTTTTGAATTCGCGGTGAAACTTCAATTCTGTCGAGATGCAACTCAGGACAGTGCTTGACGTCAATGTTGTGGATGTGCAGAAGAGGAGGAATCCCTCCAAACACTATGTAAGTTGTATGAATACTCCCAATATTAGAGATGTGCTTAGTTTGCCTGTAGCCCGTAAACAAGCTTGGGAATCACAAGAAAAACAAGATGGGAATCATGGGATGCGCTTTTTTTGGGGTCATGATCAGATTGCATCTAAATTTGTAAAAACAACAACTTGCCAAGTACTTCCGCAGCATGTGCTACGTCAGAAAATATTGACTCAACATAATGTATATTTTAAATTTTTTGTTATTATATTTTTACTTCAGACATTTGAAGGAGTAATGTTGAAGTTTGAATAACCATTGAACTAGTCTCAAGGCAATACATCTTAATGTTATAAGCCATTCACTCTGTATAAGCTAATCATAACTCTACAAGCCCTAACCAAAGAGAAACGCCACTCTCCTGTACAGAGTTAGTGATGCATAAACTTACTTACTAAATGTGAGCTCGAGCTTGAACCAATTATTCGACTAGTCGACTTTACTACTCCGCATCGACGTTCAACTTTTTGAATCGACTAAATGCTAATCCTGTGTTTTTGTCATCTCATTTTCCAATTGGCCAATTTTGTTGGACAATAGGTATTGTGGAGCAGCGAAATATCCGGCTAATTCAAACATCTGCGCAGAAGGTTGTGCATGAGAATGACGGTTAGCCTCACTAGTTTTCATTCTAAACGCCGCTAGTCTTTAAATTTGTATACCGGCAGGACCACAAGATGGCGGCGGCGCAAAGTAGACCTCCATCTTTGTTGCCAAAATGTTAAATCTAATAATGCCGACAACAACTGCTGCGCTAACAAAAACTTTATTTGTCAAAGACGTTGTTTGATACGCCACACACCAATATCATGACGCTCGTGTTGCTTTATGACACTGACATCATTGCATATGGCCGTATAGATGCTACAAGCGAATGAAAATATTGACCAAACCGATAACAGGACTATCCCTAAATACAATTAAGACATACATGAAAGACAGAAATGCCCATTTTTTTAGGAGCTTGACTACAATTTCTCACATCTTGCAGCACGCTTCTATATATGATATGGAACGCAAAATGAGACCAGCCGATTTTGTTAAATAGAAACATGCGTGCCACTACCTCTAGTTACACCAACTATAATTAGCACAAAAGGCCATTGGCAGTGTTGTGGTGCACATAGCGGACTTCAATTCCCACTCAGTGTCTCCTTTACATTTGACTGGCGATTCGTCCATGGTGTTGTGTGCCTTCACGTTAGCATGTTAGGCACCCATGGAAAATACTAAAGGACGAAGCCATGTCCCAGAGCCTCAGCTATGACAGCGTTGGACCGCATGTCATGGCCTTGATATCATTTCACCGACTTAAGTAACAACACATGTCTCAGTGGGACCCCAAAAGTCAATTAGTCCAAAGGATGAAATTGGATTAATTAACCTGAGAGTTAGGATCAATTGCCTCATCCATCTCCTGCTGAGTGGGGATCTCCCCAAGGCCACTAAAAGCTGAAGGCACAGACTGACAGTCCCTGGGGAAGGAAGATGGAGGTTTGGGAAGTCCCCTTTGGGGAAGTAGAGGAAGAAAAAAAAATCTCATTATCAATGAGGTAAGCAACTGAAAATGCTTATCCGGTTGGAGGGAGGAAAGAAGCAACCCTTTGTCTTTTGTCCTTCCTCACTGTTCGAGTGTAACTTCCTTCCAGGGCCTGACAGGACCATGGCAACTCATCCTTGTTTATGATTCTGCTTGAGCATGATGGAAAAAAAAATGTAAGGGATGAATTTGTTTTGGGTCATACGGTTACCGTCATGAATCCTTAAGAATGTATCTTTGCTGCCTATGTACCAAAGTGTCCCTAGCAATGAATACTTGATTGCACATAGGGGGGAAAAAAGTCCCTTGAAAGTTACCTTGCCATTTCGGCCTCCTTTTTTATGAATGAAATGTTTCGACATTAAACACGCAAAATCTACACACGTCACATATATAATTAGTGAACCACTGGAAAGCCAGTTCCTCCTCACCGCACACCCTGCGCAATAAACTGAAGCGGAGACAGACTTTCCAACTGGTTCTTGCAGATTGTCGCCATATGCGTGAATGCTCCGTGCCTAAACTCTCGGCGCGCTACCACACGCTCGGATTGAAACGCATTAGGTGAAGCCATCTGTTTCCGAAAACCTCAAGGTGCTCAGAAATGTCTTTTAGCCCTTTATTGTTCATGCAAATAGAAAAATTAGAACGGGAGAATGTTTGGCATCTGTGTTTTGTCCTGCTAGTGACTGATGTCTGCTACACAAATGCTATTCCCAGTTTAGCTTCTGGATGTGTAAACACTTCACTGCTGTCAGTGCTTTGACGCAATTGGAGCAATTTTTTTTCTCCCCCCCCTTCAGAATTTGAGTTTTGGATCCACAAGAGTCATGCTCACGCATCTTAATCGTAACAAAATGATTTACAGGCATAACGCATCACCTGAAATCCATTGAACCAGGCATTAACCCTGACGGCTTTCCAATGTGTCAGTGAAGCGCGCCGTCTTTAATGAGTTGAATTGACCTTTGTCGAACTCTTCAAGTTAAGACTGGAGGGAATGCGCTTTTTTTCTTTCTTTTTTTTTTTTTTTTTTTTTTTGGTCACTCGAGTAAACACAGCTAAAACGGTGCCGCTGTGGCGTCACTGACAAAAGGGATTTAATGCCCGTCTTGTTTGCGCTTCTCTCACTAGGTGTACCTTATCAACGTGACCTACTCGGACTCCACGTCTCATGTCATCTACAGGAGATACAGCAAATTCTTTGACCTACAGGTATGTCATAGAAGCAACACACCAATAAGTCTTTTTTTTTTTACATCTTGAGGATTATTTATGTTGCCAGCTTTGCCTTTGCTTGTTTTCAGTCCGACCTTTAGATCAATACTTTGTGTTCAGATGATGGATGATGTGCAAAGACTGATGGAGCCCCCCTTTGGAAATAAGCCTCTAGATGAAATGCAGTCAACAGCTGTATCATATTCATTCGCGTAAAGGGAGATGAGGGAGGAACAAAACACGTCAAATGGAATGTAGGGTGCAAGATGGGTGGGGGCTCTTGGGTTGATGGGGACGAAACGGCCAGAAGAAAACAAAAGTTAGATCTCCGAAGCCTCCGAATTTCAGTTCAGTTCGCCACGGTGCAGTTCAAATCAGGTAAATCCTAATCGGGCCAATATTTACATCGCTGGTTTACCACACTTGTAAACAAGAAACAATGCTTTTGCATCCCGCTTCTGTTCTAATCCACACTTAGTTTTTGTTTTTTTTTCCCCATTCACTTCCTTTCTTGTATCACGAAAAAAACTCAGCAGTAGGTCTAGCTTCACCCTTCCCAAATGTACCGAGGCACACCAATGATGATACTGGCATCCAAACAGAGGATAATTGATAAAATGGATGGGTCAATTTGGATTTACAATGGAAACCAAATAAAAGGCATAGCGTACCTGTCTGAACTGAAGCTTACTGCATGGAGGATTAAGGAAGGATTAAGCAGCCTAAACAAACATTAGAGTCAAGTTTCCAGTGAAGAATTGAGTTCAGGGGAGTTGGTTTCCATTGTAAAAAAAACAAAACAGCCCATAGACAAACCACAGTTTTCCACTATGTGGCACTTTTCTGGCGGGGTACAAATTTACGTTGATCGGGTAGAGTGGTTGTAGCATGAATCTAGAGTAGACGCACAAAGGTGACTGAGAGAGGTCGGTCTTACAATGATAATGGCACGGG